ATGTGTTTGTGTGTTTAGTCGTTTAGTCGTGTCCGACTCTTCGTGACCCCATGGACCAGAGCATGCCAGGCCCGCCTATCTTCAACTGCCTCCTGGAGTTGTGTCAAATTCATGTTGGTTGCTTCGCAGACACTGTCCAGCCATCTCATCCTCGGTTGTCCCCTTCTCCTCTTGCCGTCACACTTTCCTAAAATCAAGTTTTTTTCCAAGGAGTCTTTTCTTCTCATGAGATGGCCAAAGTACTGGAGCCTCAGCTTCAGGATCTGTCCTTCCAGTGAGCACTCAGGGTTGATTTCCTTTAGAACTGATAGGTTTGTTCTCCTTGCAGTCCAGGGGATTCTCAAGAGCCTCCTCCAGCACCACTATTCAAAGGCATCAATTCTTCGGCGGTCTGCTTTCTTTATGGTCCAGCTCTCACTTCCATACATCACTACAGGAAAAACCATAGCTTTGACTATTCAGACTTTTGTTGGCAATGTGATGTCTCTGCTTTTCAAGATGCTGTCAAGATTTGTCATCGCTTTCCTCCCATCAAGCAGGCGTCTTTTAATTTCGTGGCTGCTGTCTCCATCTGCAGTGATCATGGAGCCCAAGAAAGTAAAGTCTGTCAGTGCCTCCATATCTTCCCCTTCTATTTCCCAGGAGGTGATGGGACCAGTGGCCATGATCTTAGTTTTTTTGATGTTGAGTTTCAGACCGTTTTTTGCACTCTCCTCTTTCACTCTCATTACAAGGTTCTTTAATTCCTCCTCACTTTCTGCCATCAGAGTGGTATCATCTGCATATCGGAGGTTGTCGATATTTCTTCCGGCAATCTTAATTCCAGCTTGGGTTTCTTCCAGTCCAGCCTTCCGCATGATGTATTCTGCATATAAATTAAATAAGCTGGGGGACAATATACAGCCTTGCCATACTCCTTTCCCAATTTTGAACCACTCAGTTGTTCCATGACCAGTTCTAACTGTTGCTTCCTGTCCCACATATAGGTTTCTCAGGAGACAGATAAAGTGGTCAGGCACTCCCATTTCTTTAAGAACTTGCCATAGTCTGCTGTGGTCCACACAGTCAAAGGCTTTCGCATAGTCAATGAAGCAGAAGTAGATATTTTTCTGGAACTCTCTGGCTTTCTCCATAATCCAGCGCAAGTTAGCAATTTGGTCTCGAGTTCCTCTGCCTCTTCGGAATCCAGCTTGTACTTCTGGGAGTTCTCGGTCCACATACTGCTGAAGCCTACCTTGCAGGATTTTGAGCATAACCTTGCTAGCGTGCGAAATGAGTGCAATTGTACGGTAGTTGGAGCATTCTTTGGCACTGCCTTTCTTTGGGATTGGGATGTAGACTGATCTTTTCCAATCCTCTGGCCACTGTTGAGTTTTCCAAAATTCGTATTGACATCATTCTATCATTTTTGAGTTTGTATCCCATTACAGATTTCTCACTCTTTTGTTGACTATGAACGCTACTCCATTCCTTCTACGGGATTCTTGCCCACAATAGTAGATATGATAATCATCTGAGCTGAATTCGCCCATTCCTGTCCATTTTTTTTCGCTGATGCCCAGGATGTCGATGTTTATTCTTGCAATCTCCTGTTTGACCACATCCAGCTTCCCAAGGTTCATAGATCTTACATTCCAGATTCCTATGCAGTATTTTTCTTTGCAGCATTGGACTTTCCTTTCACTTCCAGGCACATCCACAGTTGAGCGTCCTTTTGGCATTGGCCCAACCACTTCATTAGCTCTGGAGCTACTTGTACTTGTCCTCCAGTCTTCCTCAGTAGAATGTTGGATGCCTTCCGACCTGAGGGGCCCATCTTCCAGCATCATATCTCTTAGCCCACTGGTTCTTAACCTTGGGTTACTCAGGAGTTTTGGACTGCAACTCCCAGAAGCCTTCACTGTGACAAACACGGCGCCCGAAAGCACGCGTGAATGCTCGGACAGAGAGTAATTTGGAGATTGGACACGCTAACACGTGCTGAGTGAGTCCTAGAACTCAGCTGGCCGTGAACAACTCCCCATCTTAGAAGTCTGACCTAATAAGAACACCCTTGTACCTTTGAATATTACTGATAGAAAACCATGTGGGCTTGGTAGTCCTGACACTTATCATGCACCACAGGCTGGACTCCTTAAGTATGCTAGGCCGAGGCAGAACTCTCAGATGACCCTAAGACAAGTTTACTGTTCAGGAAACCAATTGATTTTTATAATCATTATTTTATTAAAGAATAAGCATGTTCCTAGGTATCAAAACCAATCTAGGCCAAAGGTAGTAAATAAGCATTGTGCTGGTTATTTACAAATCTGTAGTGAGGCAAAGAAAACATGAAAAATAGACAAGTGTTCAAAAACATTACAAGAAATCAAAAAGCCATTAAAAAGAATAAAAACAGTTCCATTAAAGTAATTCATCAGAGAAATAAATTAGTCCAATTATGTAAGAAACAGTCCGTAGTCCTCAATAATCCTGTAGAAGAAAAATACTGTACAAAAATTAAAATCCAGTATAAGAAAATGTCCCATTGTCCTGAGAAAAATCCAAGATAATAGTCCATAAGGAGCATTCCATCAGAAATAGTCCATGAAAATTCCCTCAGTGCATGTATGGGCAATCCATGTGTGTAAGCCACGAGTGAGTCACGAAAGACTGAAGAGTAGGTCCCGAAAGACAATGTCCATAGGCAAAAAGTTCCTTTTTCAAGAGTAACTGGTAAGGTCTTATTGCTCCTTCCCACGATGTCGTCCAATCACAATCTGTTGCTAGGCAAACAGTCCTGGTGTGCCACATGACTTTTTCTCCCATGGGTAACAGATGTTATTTGGGTTACTGTGGTTTTCAAAGAGTCACAACAATACCCATCTATCTTATCACAGAGTCCTTTGTCATGCTCTCAGAATAGCATTCCCTTGGCTCTCACTAGCAAACACCCTGTCAGCATAGCATAGATCCTTTATACAGAGAACCAAGATGGAACCTCTCTTGCACATTTCTCAATTACAAAACCCATGTTCCTTACAAGATTTCAACTACAAATTCCATCTCATCACATTCACCACCAGCTGTCCTGAATGGGGTTTCTGGGAGTTGCAGTTCAAAAGCATCCGAGTAACAAAGGTTAAGAACCACTGTTTTAGCCTTTTGTTTCTGATCATGGGGCATTCTTGGCAAAGATACTGGAGTGGCATTGCCATTTCCTACTCCAGGTGGATTGCGTTTAATTGCAACTCTCTACTATGTCCTGTCCGTCTTGGGTGTCCCTGCACGGCATAGCCCATAGCTTCTCTGAGTTACTCAAGCCCCTTCGCCACGACAAGGAAGCAATCCATGAAGGGTAAACTGCAGTACTACAGCCAAAACTCTGCTCATGATCTGGATTCAATCCCAGATAGCTGGCTCGAGTTTCACTAAGCCTTCTAACCTTCTGAGGTTGGTGAATAGAGTACCCAGCTTGCAGGCGGAAGGTGGCATAATAGGCGGGAGGGAGCCTGTATAATTGAACTGTAAACTGAGAAAGTGCTTTAAGCTCTATGGGCAGTATATAAGCAGCACACCTTTTCTTCCCCCACCCCCAAGGAGAAGCATTCCACCTTTTCTTTCCAGTCTTTTACACAGTAAAAGGAATGTGTGGTATCCTACAGCACATGCTTCCTCCTCTATTTTAGGAAAGACTTTGGAGGAGATGTAGGTTCTAAAGACACAGGGACTAAGATCTTCTTTACAAGAAGATCTTTACAAGAAGATCTTCTTTACTCTGTCAAATAGTGCATACTCTACCTCACCTTCCTTTGGTAGTGGGAGAGATAGGGGAACTGATTATTCCCTTTGATGTTTGGTCTTGGAGCTTTTTCATCATTAGTATTTTATATTCAACTCAAAAATGAGATGGATGGAGAAATAATCTCCCAAAGTTTACATCTAGAAATGGGGGTATTCATATACAAATACCCCTGCACAGGTGGAGATAATGAGGGCCCAGTCATCCGTCTGCTGCTGCAGCTAACTCCACACTCCCTTCCAATCATTCCGGAGCTCGCCATCGACTAGCCACTCATCAGCCTGGCAGGGAGACCCATCTTCCCTCCTTCTGCCAGGAGTGGCTAGTCAACCATGAGCTGTTGTTTTTGAGCCTTTTGGCGTAGTGATTAAACTTCAATACTGCAATCAAGAGTCTTCCCACTATTAGAGTTAGATCTCAGCTGTTCTCAAGTAGCCAGCTCAAGGTTGCCTCACCCCTTCCATCCATCAGAGGTTGGTAAACTGAGTGTTCAGCTTGCAGGTGGGGGGCAATGTGCAGTCTCCATAATTAAATTGTAAAGTGCTAAGACAGTGGTATAAGTGGTATGGGGCAGTATATAAGCTGTACACTTTGCTTTAGTGTTCTGCTTTCTTCTTTGTTTTCCTGTTCATCTACTGCTTTGCCACCCATTTTATGTATCAAATTTGTCTTCTTCCATAGAATTGTGTTGTTCATAACTAGTCAGATCAATATGTGGTGATGTTATTGCTAGAAAGAACACTAGTTTAGAAAAACATTTGCTATAGCAGCAGCTGCTTAGGCTTGTCAAGAAACTCTGAAGCTTTATTGCAATGCTGTGACTGGTGAGGCTGGGATTGGCAAATGGACTAGCTCCCCAAACTTTTCAACCATCTCAAATCAGGAAGGGTCTTTTTATTGGTGACTTGTGTGGGAAACTGTTGCTGTACGTTTCTCCTCTGAAGTTTCAACTTAGTGTTAATTTCATCTGCATCACCAGGTTGCTCAAATCATTTCAGAAGTTCGTGAAGCAATTATTACTTTAGATAAGCCACCAGATGCAACTGAAATAAGAAAACAACAGCTTAAAGTAAGTGGAAGGTCTCTTTTTTATACTTTAATGATGTAATATAAGCACTGTGACTGAAATACCATAACACCAGTTTCTTCTGTAATAAATGATTTAGCTAAAATGGTTTTCAATAAAGCAAATAATAAAAATAGTGAAGTATGGGAATCAAGCTTTCTCTAGCTTAGAGTCAACTAAGTGTCAGAAAAGACAGTTCAGATCTTGGCTTGGGTGTCCATGTGGGCTTTTTTGATGATAAATGGCAAGTGGGGAAGAAAGGTAGGTCATTCGTAGATAGAAAGGACAGGTATTTCATTCCATTGCTGCAGCATCAGGCATTTAATGGTCAGCAGTGCATAAAGAATTCATTGTTGATAGCAGGTGTGCTGTTGGAAACAGCTAGAAATATTCTTTTAAGATGTATATGTCCAAGTGTCTATAGAAATGCAATGAAATTTTTCATCTCCATATTGATGTTAATGGAGACTTCAAACCAGATGGGGTCAACAATCAACTAGTTACACGTTAGATTTTGTGGTTTTTGCTTGTGGGATATAACATCAATTTTAGAAATGTCAACTGCTCTTTTGTCATTTATGGTTTTCCTTTCAGCTAGCTGAAATAAAAGTGAAGCTTATTGAAACAAAAGATGCATTGGAGAAATGTGTGGCTCTGCAGGATTTCAGTCATGCGTCATTGTTGAAAGAAAGGATAACAGAGCTGGAAGACATTAGAAGTGGTCTTTTGAAAGAGGCAGAGGAATCTCAGACAAAAGAAATATGCATAGAAAAGGTTTTGAATTTATACTTATTATACTCCAGTTCAATGACTGTGTTTTAAAACAAATATAAAGGTTCTTTGGTGTTTTTAAAATGACTTGTAGGCAAACTAATCAGTTTACACAGCAGCATACTATTATTTATTTATTTATTTATTTATTTATTCCTTCCTTCTTTCCTTCATTGAATTTACATACCACCCCATACTGCAAAGCACACTCTGGGCGGTCCATAGCATAAGCATACAAACAATACAGCACAATACATTGACTGATTTTGCTTGATGGTATTTATCTGTCCTCAAAACTAAACCAGCCAAACTCATTTCCAGATAGCAGGTAGAATGAGTAGGTATTTTGTGAGGAGATGTTCTGACTGATATTGAGGTCCTAAACAGTGTAAAGCTTTATAGGTGATGACCATCACCTTGAATTGAGCATGGATACTAATAGGAAACAGTAGAGACATGTCATTATAGGAGATATGTTGTCATATTTATTGGCATTTAAGATCAGTCTGGCTGCTGAATTTTGGACCTTCAGAAGTTTCTGTACTGACTTCGCAAGGTCAGTTCTACATACTGAACATTACAGTAGACTATTTGGAAATTACCAAACCATGAATCACTATTGTTGGGCATTTGTTCTGCATGTAGGGGCACAGCAGGGCAATCAACCAAAGTTGATGAAAACTACTCTTGGCCACAACAAATATTTGCACCTTCATAGAGAGAGCTGCATCCAAGAGTACAGCCAAACTGTGAACCTGATCCTTCGGGGTAGTGTAACCCTGTTGAAAGCAGTAAAATGTCCCTCTGACTGGTCTAGTGATCCTCCCAACAGCAGGATCTCCACCTTATCTGGATCCAGTTTTTGTATATTGGCTGTCATTCAACCAATATTGGCTATTGTATATTGGCTGTCATTCAGCCAATATTGGCTAAACCCTTATTGCCACCAGACAACTCTCAAGGACCTGCACTGCATCATCTGCAGATGAAGAAAAAGAGAGAAAGATGTGTGTCATCTGTATTGGTGACAACTATTTCAAAATGACTTTTCACACAACTTACTGTGTTGAAAAGTATTGGGGAAATGGTTGATCTCTGAGGGACCACATAAAAGAATCATGTTAGGCATCCTTCAGTCTCGAGAGACCATGGTAACGTGCTCTGTATAGAGGACTTGGAACAGTGTCTAGCTGAGAAGGCCAATTCGAGAGTGACAGTCCCTTCCACACTGAAGACACATCCAATCTGACCCCTGTCCAGCTCCCTGATTTTGTTGCTTTCATGACTGCCTCTTTGCCTCAGCCTGATGGACAAGTGTTTCTTCAAAATGGGAGCGGTCATGCTGCACTGCCTGCCTCCAGGCTGAACGCTCAGATGTCAAAGTTTCCCCTCTGTTGAGGTCCATTCCTAAGGCCTTCAGTTCCTGCTTGCAGATATCCTTGTATCGCAGCTGTGGTCTCCCTCTGGGGCAATTTCCCTGCACTAATTCTCCATACAGGAGATCTTTTGGATTCCGACTGTCAGCCATTCTCATGACATGCCCAAGCCAACATAGACGTAAGAGAGGTCTCAAGGAATAGGCATTACCTTCCAAGCTGTACTCTCAGAACCACGAAAGAGCGGTGTCCCCAAGTCCTAAACGTGACAGTTGTCTCAGAATGATATCGTGGTTGACAATATCAAAAGCCCATAGAAAGATCCAGGAGGACCTGCAGGGTTACACTCCCCTTGTCAGCCTCCTTCAGGAGGTTGTCCTGCAGACCAACCAATGCAATTTAAGTTCCATGACACAGTCTAAACCCCAATTGAAATGGATCTAGAATACCCATTTCCTCTAAGAGTGCAACTGGTCAGCCTCCACCATCTTGATCAACTTGCCTAAGAAAGGTATATTAGCAACAGTCTTATAATTATTAAAGTAATCCAATACTAAATTTGTTTTCTTCGGATGGGGCCTTCTAAAGGTCTCTTTTAAGAGGATAAGTGTTCTTCCCATACATTGATGCATTGATCATATATGTAATCCATTCCCTAGCTGACATCTTAGCTGATTTTAAGAGCCATGGTGGACAACGATCATCATAAGAAATTTTATTATATTTTAATGTTTAATTTTTGTTAGTTATGTATTTGCTGTTGATGTTTGGTTTTGGAAATTCATTGGCCAGTATGATTCATAAAGTCAATGGTGGGCAAAAGCATGCATCTGCCTGTTTTTGCAGCACTAGGGACAGTTTTGCTCCTGGAATCCTCCAAGAACAGCTATTTTCTAAAGAAAGGGATGCTGCCTTGTGTTACTATGTAGGTGTGTGTGTCTCCAGTCACTTCTAGTTTTGAAAAAGAAAATGGGGAGTAGGGGATAAAATAATGTTTAGAAGTGGGTAGCTGTTTGCTGCTGGGTGGATGGGATGCTAGTTGTGTCTGAGCCTGCCAAAGTTTTCTTCCCCTGTTGGAAGTCTCATTCGTAATGATTAAGTTCTCACTTAGGAAGGGTTTAGGAATGTGATGTTAGCTAGGTATGGGACTCCCTTATTTCTTGTACATCCGCATGCAGAATTCATCAAGAATTTCCTCAGACAGGATTCTGGGGGTAAACCAAGAAATTAAAATCCTCACAGGAGTTTTCAGCTATGCATAGGTGGAGAATGAAGGCTCCAGCAATTATTGTTCAGGACTCATTGGAACCTCGGGATGGGAGGAGGAAATGCTACACCTGATGACATCAGCTTGACATTGTGAAACTTATACAAATAGCGTTTCAGCTGTGTTTCTACTTTCAGAGTAGCTCAAACTTCAGCTTTAACTTGATTTTATTTTAAAAAGAAACAAATTGCTATCCCAGTTTAATGTTCTTCAGTATGTCACACTTGGTTATTAAATGAAGTATATGAAATAGTCTCATGTGTAGTAAGCATCTGCTAAATTCTGATATGTTTGTTTTAAGAATGATCCTGAAACATTGCTGAAATGTCTGCTAATGTGCAGTGAACTTCTAAAGCAGCTATCAGTTTCCAAAGGATTAGGTCCAACAATGGATGGAATAATCGAATCCTTGGTATGTGGCATCAAAAACAAATGCTTGGCATATGTGGGAGTTCAAAAGATGCTTAATGAATGTGTAAAGTATTAAGTAGCCAAATGTTATTGCATGTCATAAGTCACAATCTTTGACTGTGTATCCTGTTTCTGAATTTGTCAATCCTGTGCATGGAGAACTGAGACAAAAGCTGGAGCTAGACTGAGCTCTTGACTATAAAGACCTCTCGCGCTTACCAAATTAAAAAAAAGTATATGGAGGGTAGGGATGAGATTTTGAAGAACTCTCAGGCTCCTGTGGTGCATTGGGACACTTTTAATGGAAGTGAGGGGGATGTTCTTCCTCCTGCTGGTTTGAGGGCTCCCGGTGCAGTAATTTGTCATGGGGTGGTTCATGTCAAATTATGGGACTGTGCTTTCTTTAATTGCCAAAGTTCCATCCCTAATGGAAGATCAAATCATGCACTTCACATGCCCCATCCCCACAGCATATTGCTAAATTTCACATACTGAGTATTGATATGTGATACTGGATTTTTGAATAATTGTTTGAAAGCCCCTGTTATGTTTGTTTTGACTAGAAATGTGTATTACTATTATAATAATTTGTTTGTGTTTTAGATAATTCCAGGAATTACCAATATCCACCCAGCTGTAAGAAATATGGCAGTTTTATGTTTGGGTTGTTGCGGTCTGCAGGACAAAGACTTTGCCAGCCAGCACCTTCCATTGCTATTACAGGTAAAAGTTTTTATCACTGGGCCTGCTCAAATTATACCTTCTGTGTTAAGAAGCTAGCTGCACCATTCAGGCAAACAGTAGGATGTCAGAGCTTGCACTGCTTTCTGTAAAAAGATACAGAGGAAAATGACTTACTAATATAGGAACCTGTCTTGTGAACCGTCAGCTTGAGATTCACAGTTTCCCATCTGTTTCCTGCTTATTCACTGTAAGAATATGGGGGGTCTGTTGAATCCCTGCTGCTTTCTTGTGGCACGGAGTCCAGGTAGATGCAATCTTCTCCCCCCCCTTAAAATCTTATACTTAAAATACAAGAATAAGTGGTATGCTTGTTCTATATTCAGATAATTGTGATTTACAGGGAAGGCAGCAGCATGAGGACTACTTGATTTGTTTGTTGTTTTTCCTTAATTCTGTGTAGTGATCATGTGCATGCAGTTAAAACTAAGAGTTGGACCTGTACTACTAGCATCATTACTTGAAGACTGGAGACTAGGAGAAGCATCTGAGCAAACCCTTCTGGTGATACAGATTTTGATTAATTGGCAATTTGTAGTTTTCTGTTAAAAATTCTGTTGCAAGGTGACAGAGAATCATGAACCTCAAAAAACTCTGCTTTCCCCCACTGCAGTGAAATATCAATGTTTCAGTTCAAGCCTCTATTACTTTCTGTAAAGAAAACATCAACATGACTGTATTTTAATGTAAGTTAAGTGTGTATGTCTGTGTGAACAAGTGGAAGTAGGACTGCCTTAATTGGAGGCCATTTGTGCTTTCTCGATGACATATGTTTGAATTTGCAATTCCAGTTTTGAGGAAGTTCTAAAACAAGGGAGTGTGCAAAACAAAGCCCTTTGTCAAGCTCGGGATTATACCTCACTGTGAAGTAGAATCAAAGGCCAATTTCATAGATAAATGTATCCTATTTCTCTTCTAAAACTACCCAGGTATTGCAAATTGATGAAATGAAGGTAAAATTAAGTGCCTTAAAGGTGCTCTTTGATCAGTTAATGATGTTTGGAATAGAACCATTCAAAGCAAAAAAAGGAAGAGATCCCCAAAATGAGAATGAAGATAATGACGAAGAGATGACTAAAGAAAATGAAGAAGAACCTACTACTGCCCATAATCTCCTCCAACTTATTTCTGGGTTTTTAGACAGTGAGGTAAGGCAATGAAATCAAGAAATGTTGATTCAACACTTGACTACATGTTTGGAGGATTAATAAGCATAGTGTTTTAGTATAATGTTTTTGCTAATGAATAATTGTTTGTTAACGTTAAATTAATATGGAGATAACATATGCATGTAAAACTGACAAGGAGTAAGGTTTTTTTTAAAAAAAATTGTTTATATTTATAACGTGTCTTATTTCTTGAGCTCAGAGATCACTAGCAGTTATACACAAAAAGTAGATATGGACTTGCAGGCCATTGGAGAGTGGTTCTATTCCTCGAACATAGAAGGCATGGACAAAGACAGATTTCCAGTTTTGGGCAGGCGGGAGGAAACCACCTGCAGTGGCATAAGTTTGCTGAAGAAGTAGATCCAACACTAAATATAAAACACCAAAACAATTGATCAAGATAGGGAGAGGTGTAGGAAGGCCTGACTGCATTATTGCACATGCTCAAATACAGCTCTCCAGAAGAACTGCTGCTGCTTGGAACTGGTGCATCCTTTCTTTGCTGTTCAGAAAAAGTCCAACTTTCTGGTCTCTGTCAGTGGACTGAATTGGAAAGGTATATATTATAGCAATATGTCCCTGCAGTCTAATAAAACATTCACTGGAGGAATGCTTCAACCAAAGTGTACTTGTTGATTCTTCTTCATGGCCACTGTGAATCACACTGTGGGTAATCCGTGTATGCATGGAACCTCATTGGACATTCTAGAGTTTTTGTGATAGCAAAAAGATACATTAGAGCAAACCCCCTCCCCCTTGGTATATGTACCTTGGTGCCAAGGCTCTCCCTTCAGTTTCTTTCAACTGCCACGTTAAGAGCCTCTAGTGGTCGACCAGACCAGATGGGCGGGATATAAATCAAATAAATAAAATAATAAATATAAAATAAATATCGTTCCTTCTGTGAAATATGAAAGTGAAAGAAAAGGAAAGTTATTTATATCCTAATTTAACAGCTATTACTAATACTATATTTGCAGACCAAGAAGAAATATGCTCCAGCCTTAGGGCCGAAGCATTCCTCCCCCCCCCCCCCCCCAATCTTCAGTTCCTGGCCTCTTCTGGCCCATTTAAGTGATGCGTGGCCTGCAATAACAAGATTCTGCTCTCAGACGGCCACGCTAATTGCCTTTTTTGCCTTGGTGAAGCTCATCAAACCTCATTGTGTCCTCATTGCAAAAACTTGGAGTTCTCTGTAGACGCCTTTCTCGGCTTAAGCTTCAGCTCTGGGAGCAATCTCTCCAGCCAGCTAAACCAACCTTCCTGCAAGTCCATATCCCACACTAAAGCAATGAGCAAAGCAGTTTCTGAAGTAGCGAAACAGGGCCCGTCAGGTACTCCATCTTGCTCTGCTTCTGTGCCGTCCACAATCACGTGAGTACATAAAGCCAAACAGCCAAAGTCAAAGCCCCCGACATCGAAGACAGCGCTAAAGAGGAAACTGTCCATGAATGCTTCCTCGGCACCTGACCCTTCACCACCAAAGAAGGCCAAGTCCTCAAAATTAAAGCCTCTTCCAGCTGCCTTCCCGACTCCACAGCCACCACAGTCCGGAGATCTGATCTGTATTGGTTCCCTTCCAGATGAGGAACCACTTCCACCTCACCAACTGTCACCTTCGCAGTCTCCCAAGTGGGAACAAAGGATCGACCAGCTGACAACTTCTCCCGACAGCCCGCAACCTTCCTTGGGCTCTCTGAGTGTGTCCTCATCGATTGCCTCTCTAGGTCTGCATGATGCTGAAACTCAGCCAGAGACTGTGCCTTACCTGGCCCCAGTAGGCCTACTATCTCGGCCTCTGGCATATCAGCAAGGGAGTCAAGCCTCTAAGACCATCTGTTGGCCCTTGCGCGTGGAAAAGGATTGTGCTCAGCACCATCATTGGGATGCTCTTTGCCCCAATCAGTGCCCAATGGAGAGGCCCACCAGACATTATCGACCAGCTGTTGTTCCTGGTCTGGTGGCACGGCCAGAACATATTACCCCTCCTCAAGACGATTAGTTTTTGCGATCGCTTTTGTGCTTCCTATCAACAATTTTCGCAAGACGACGATTTTTCCCCATTGGAACACATTAAATAGATTTCAGTGCATTCCAATGGGGAACTGTGTCCTGCAAGACGATGTTTTCTATGGACGATTTTTGCAAGACAGCAATTTTTCCATTGGAACACATCAAATAGATTTCAATGCATTCAACCCCGTTTTGCAAGACAATGTTTTTGCAAGACAATGTTTTTCACGGAACGAATTAACATCGTCTTGCGAGGCACCTCTGTGTGTGTGTGTGTGTGTTTATATATGTTTATATACATAGCCCTCTGATGGTTGAGTCATGGCCAAGTGAGGATACAGACAATAAACAAAGTGATAATGCATAGTTAGCTCTGGAGTGGGACTGTTGGGATTACTTCAAATTGCAGGCCATAACCAATGATTATCTGTCCATATGTAGTGCTTATGTGTTTAAGAGTAGTTCCTGGGGCAGAGAGTAAATCAAATAAAAAACCCCAGCTATTTTATCTATATAAGATGTTACCGAAAACTAATTAGTATACAGTGGTAGCTTGGTTTACAAACGCCTCGGTGAACGTAATTTTCAGTTTACAAATGAAAATCCATTGAAAATAATGCCTTGGTTTACACTTCTTTTCTGCAATATGAAGCAAGTTTGCATTGAGCCTGGGAGGTTTATAGCGCTGCCCCCGTGCATGCATTCATATGGGAAACTGTGTTTTGGTTTCTGAATTTTTCACGTTATGAAACATCCAGGAGAACGCATTAATTTTGTAAACCGAGGTATGCCTGTATTGAGTATACCAATATACTACATATGTTAATATGCATAGTGCACTAGGAGCACTATATAAGTCCTTAGGGAGATGTTTAATTTGTTTTTGTAGCTTATTTCTGCTGTCTCTCTCTCCAGTCTTCCTTTGTAATTCTTGTTTCCTACAATGGCTACTTAGAGATCCTTAACATAGCATTCTGGGATATTGTGTGTTGAAATTATATCGCCATTCTTGATATTGTAGACTATTAACAACCTTTTTTCAGTTTTCAGAACTTAGAACTGAATCTGCTGAGGGTCTAGCAAAGCTCCTATTTTCTGGACGACTGATAAGTGCTAAGCTTCTTTCTCGACTTGTGTTGTTGTGGTATAATCCAGTAACTGAAGAAGATACTCGTCTCCGCCACTGCTTGGGAGTTTTCTTCCCATTATTTGCTTATTCAAACAGGTATAGCACTTTTTTCCTGATTATTATTTTTTTGGGGGGGAGTGTTTTCAATAATTTCTGCAATTTTAATTAGGGATAGGCAAAATGTGACCTGGGGACTGAATATGCCCCCTCATGGGCATTTTTTGTTTCACTTTGTGGTCTTCTGTGATTCATACACTTGGGTTTCACAACTGTGCAGAAGCAAGCCATTCAAAATTTCCCAGAGCTTTCTATCCTCCTCTCCTCCATTTCTCTTGTGTATGATCACAGTGCCTCCCATTCATTCCCTCAGTCCTCTGTTGTAAGAGATGAAGGATGGAAGGATAGAATGCTCTGGAAGGTTATGAGTGGCTGTGTCACGAACCCTGTGTCCCTTGTTTATTATTATTCCTTCACAAAGGCCCACAGGCACGTTCCCTTTATGCTGCCACCAGTGGATTATCTGAACCCACAGTACCATTAACGTATGACAGGACACTTGTCTTGTGAACAAACAAAATGTATTTATTGAAGTGAAACAATATTAGAAATCTTTCAGGTAATCAAAATTCATTGGCCTTAGCTCATAGGTCGGGGAACAGGGGTAAATTACCCCAAATGGGGTAAAAGTGAAAATCCTGGGGGTAATGAGCAGGCTGCTACACCCCTCCTTCCCAACCACCAACCCCCACCCTCTGGAGCCAAAGCTTTAATTGTAAACCACCTCGCCCTGTTACTTCCTTCGTTGCAGCAGGGCACTCCTAAATGCTCCGTTCTGTTAGAGAGATCGGAGAGATAAACCTAATTGGTTACAGGTGGGGATTAGCCCGGGCAATCAGCCAATCTGGGGCTTCTGAATGACTGCTTCCTCCGGAAATGACTGCAAACAAGCAGGAGGAGGGAAAGGAGCAAGCAAGGGAAGGAGGGAAGAAAGAAAGATGCGAGAGACTGAGGACTTCATCACGCTTATTTAAATGTATGTAATTGTAGAAAATGGCGGGAGAAAATGGAGGGAGTGTGTGTGAGAGAGAGAGAGAGAGACAGACTGACTCAAAACTGAAAATGAATAGGGAGTCAAGCAAAAGAGAAACTGAATTAAGGCGGGGGGGAAGGGTGGCTTTTTAAGGTGCTATCTAGGTTTATCATTGCTTTCCTTCCAAGAAGCAGGCATCTTTTAATTTTGTGGCTGCTTTCACCATTTGCAGTGATCATGGAGCCCAAGAACGTAAAATCTGTTACTGCCTCCATTTCTTCCCCTTCTTTTTCCCAGGAGGTGATGGGACCAGTGGCCATGATCTTTGTTTTTTTGATGTTGAGCTTCAGACCATTTTT